CAAAAGGGTACTGTGGACATCTTTTGGGAATAAAGCAGTAGAGAGATTCGAAACAATACCATATCAGAAGGACTGTGAAAAAACGGTTCTCCGACAAGCTCGGATGATAACAACTTCCTTCCTCCGGCTGCTGATATCGAGTAAGTTTGCCTGCTACCTCTGTGCCCAAATAACAGTGTACCGCCAGTAATCAGACCAGTAAAAACACCTGGCACGATTGCCAAGGGTTTTTTACATCCGATACTTTGTACTAAAATTCGTACTTGAATTTAGATGCTGTTGCGTGAATTGTCATAATTAAATTTTGCAGTTGCCAAAATAATTCAGACTTTCGTTGCAGAACACAACTGTTAGAGTTAAGCATGCAAACGTTCGAGCTAACCAAGGAACCCTTTTATGTCTGTTAATTTTACTGCGTACGCCACAGCAGCCAGCTCAGTGACATCGAATGCTTTTTCGTAATCGACAAAACAGGATGCTCTCCTCCTCCCGCCTGTTATGAGAATAGGTTGGTACTGTCCGAGCACTCTCGTATCCGATTTAGGACATAAATTGTTTCAGGTGATTGCAAGACTGAATTTGAGTCTGAAATTCGTTTTAAACACTTGTTTGCAGTTTTGTGGTTAAAAATTCGACGCAGCTTTCGTATGCTGCTCTGGTTGTGTAGCTCCTGTGACATTGGTACCACCGTAATACAATTGCAGCTACCTAGGACAAACGAAGCAAAAGCCGACAAGGTACTTAAGGCTGCAAAATGATGAACCGCCTCAATTTCTAACTTAGAGCTGCGAAACTTGTCCTCTGTCACAAAAGAAGCAAAGCTTGAAGAAGTGCGGGAAGGTAGTGCTCTTCATTAAATTTATGTACTTTTCCGATGAGGAAATCTCAGTTCTAGTGAACTCTATGTAATGCCTTCTACGGGATTTGAAATTTTACAACCCGCGCTTATTTAGTTCGCTTCTTCAAATGGATTTTTTGAAAAAAAAAAACCTTTTGATCGGCGCTTGTAGATATGTGAGTAGTAAAAATATTGACTCAGTACCAATAAATCCTAAAAGCAAAAATTATAATTTTAGGATATCAGTTTTCGAAAAGCATCAGAAAATTCCTCTTTCGAAAACAACTGGCTCCCATGTGCACACAGTAAGTATATCCGTGAGAATGCGGTGAGTGGCACTTGTGAGAAGGAACTCGACGAGTCGCCCCTAAGACAGCGAGTATTTATCGGAGGTACGCAGCTCTTTGCTGGCATATCTACGCACTGTATATGTGTGTCCCAGAAGTACCACTCAAATCCATTCTCCACGCTGACTCGTAGTGATTTTCGTAAAATAGTAATAACAGAAAGCTAAGATTTATTTCGAAACGACTTCGTAGGTTGAGAAATTTAGAATCTCGCTTATGAATGTGCAATCATCTTTCTTACTTACTTTCGTATTAGATCAGCTGCAGTTCACAGTTCTTTCTTGCTGTGCAGCTATCACTGCTGTACTGATGATTCCCATTTTCACCCTCACTTCCCATCTCTCTGCTTACAGCTAAGGCATGAAACACATAGTTGATCTAGAATCAGTTCTAGCCCTAGAAACAATATTTTTTCATGCTCTGACCAATGTTGACGTTTTCTGATAATCAGTTTGCTGACGGGCCTGGCATTCGTTTACTCTTCTGGATCAGCTATAAGGAAAATTGCTTTGGCAAGGCTTTAGCCGTTTCAGGATGTCCTTTATGAGAGTTAAATAACACTATCTCGTTGTCTAATTTTGCCCATCCTGACCAGGTGGTGCCTTACCGATTAGGAGACCACCACCTCATACCTGAAGGAAAATTGCACAGGCGTATTCTAGCATTTGTTACACAAACTTGCACGACATAGTAAACTCCGAGGATTTTTTGAATTGGCTGTTGATTTGCTAGCATTGCGCCGACCATATTGCAAGTATCGCCTGTCAACCTGGAATGCTATCAGTTAAATCAGCCCTGTGGCTATCGGCATGAGGGAACAATAGAATACCAGATCGATCATTTTGACAATGTGGGGTATTTGCTGCTTCTTGCCAAAAAAATCTTACCAAAAGAGTAGAAAGTAGACTGAAAGACCTTCACATCGTTTAATGCGATAATTTTTGATGACTTGTGGGATCAGAGGCAGAAACCACAGGAACAGTGATACGAATCCAATGCTGAAGCCGATTAGTTTCAGATCCGTATCCACACAGTCCTCGAAAATCTGCAACAACATTTTGGCCGACGCGATTTTGCTCCAAATTCTTCTGTACTTTAATTGGCCCGATGCACCAGCGTATACAGAAGATGGCTGACCTCGGTCATTTAGGTCTTTTAACTTATCCGATGCATGGCTAAGTAAGATTACTAACATCCTAGGCAATCGTTCCGATGTTAGTGCTACTACTGCTAGACTGCACGCAGAGGCCAAATGCAGCTGCACTTTTAGGTCCTCGTATTTTGAACTTTGATAGCATTTATTGCCTGTACTGTCGCGCGATTCAGTGAACTTTTTATTAGCTGCAGTTTGCAGCTATGCTCCTGGCAATTATTTCAGCCTATTGGCGGAGACACTAATGTCCTTTTCGTTTCCTGAAGAGATTATCAGCTCAACTGCTCTCCCGATGCAAACATCCGGCAAAGTTTTGGGTATTTCGAGATCGTACTTGCTAGGAGGTATTCTCGGTGAAAATTTGATGAGAAATTTAGAAATGAGTGAAATATTTTCCCTCACATCCATAATCCACTTCACTCCGTCAGGACAAGTCGATCTTTGGAGCTGCCCATCATTGCTACTCAACGTTCCGTCTTTACCATCGCTGTGAGATGTTGTGTGCAACAGTGACGAAGCCATTCCTAGAGTATCCGCAGATTAACAGATATGATTCAAAAAGCTTTGTCTGATTACGATTAACAATACGTAGACAAGCAGTTGCTTGACCAAAGGCAAAAAACATTGAGCTTTCCCGTAACTGGGACTCTTTGGAAGAAGAACCAACGCAGCTTTGATTGCAGTCACTTGTTGGCAAGGCTGTCGAGGCTTTTTCTTCAGAAACTGTTTACAAGTAAACTGATGGCGAGTATGTAGTAGTACGTGCCATGAACAATTCGCCATTAAAGCAAATAAACGAATCGTAGAGGAACAACTGACTTTTCCACAGGCGAAGTCGAACAAAAAGTTATTCATTGAATCGGACACAAATATTTGCAAAAAATAAATACTCCCATGAATTTAGATTTATTATGCACTTTTGCATCTTATGTAAATGCAAAAACCACATTGTTGAGAAGTTGTCCGTTTACACATATGTAGTGTATGTTTTTGTGCGTGTATGTGTGAGTATGTGGTGTGTTTGTGAGTGTTTCCGTGCGAATGTGTTTTGTTCGCGTTCCTAACTCAGGAAAAGCCAAGACGCTAGAATTTCAGGAATGCGTTTCCTGCTTATGTCCAGTACTGGAAGAGCAAGCTTCTGTATGACAAATTTAAGTTTAGTTTTCGCCTAAGTTTCACTTACAAATAAGTGGAATTTTTAGTGCGAAAATCGCTAACTCGGGAACCAGTAAAGTTAAGAGGTTGGAGTTTTAAGAGTGACCTTACATGGTCGCATGCATCATCTAAAGTTTTTAACTTTTATGTATGACACTCAAAGATATGGTTATGTGAATGCTTCGGCAGGAATTTTTCGAATTCCGAATTCAGACAGGGCGAAAAACTTTAGGAATCGCGCTAGGTAGGAATATCCTGAATTTTAGGAGAATACTGCGAGGACTTCGCAAATTTTAAATTTAACTACGGCATATGCTTGAATTTCATGCCAAAACAAATGAAAAGTTTTGGCCGATCAAAATATTCTGTTAATTTCTGCACATTTTAAACAGAAAAGCGATAAACATTTTTAATAGCAAATGTCCAGTGGACAGGACTGCATAAAACGCACAATGGCACGGGGCTACATTTGAGCACACCGCTATTTATCCAATTTTTCAATGCGTTTTAAAAGTCTAAAATTTGATTTTAGTTGGAAAATTTAATTTTTCGAACTGCGAAATCCGAACCCTTAAAACATTGGATCGCTAGTTGTAGTATGGCGCTCTGGCTGGCCTTAAAAAAGCTCTGGGGTTTCTTCCCAGAGCTTCCCGAGTTTGATTTAGCTGCAGAATCTGGTAGAAAAATGGAAGACGGGTGCCTTTTAAAGCTTATGAATGGCTATAAAAGATGATCTTTAATACTTTCATCAAGCAAGGATGATGGATGCTCTTTGAGTGTTATAATCTACTTGTTTATCAAGAATTGCTTTTTTATCACAAATTGTAGAAGGTTAAAACTTTGGAAAAAAGCTTAAAAACCAAGCCGACATGCGTGATTTCTGATGCGGTTTCTGTTCATTTTTATAAAAAAAAATTCTATTGTTTTAGTGTTTGCCTTTATTAGCAATTATCTTAGGCTCTGTTCGGCACCCCTCAGTTCCCCATGCTATCAGTTCTAAGGTACGGAAGGAAGACAGATACGAAGTAGCACAGATGCTAAGGGCAAAAACTGGCAGTGATCCAGTGAGTCATGGAACGACACAAAGAAGAACATGTTTCGGCCTGTCAGCAAGTTGTCGCACATTTCTAGTGAAGTACTAAGCTTCCGGCTAGCATGAGTTATATTATCAAGGCAGGGTGCGTCAGAAAGAAAAGTTGGTTCAAGTTATTGGGAGAGAATGAAGGACGATAAATGGACAAAGCGAACTACTGAATGTTATCCATGCAATGTTACAAGAGTACAAGGGAAGCCGCTATTGAATCAAGATTGAGAGCTGGCAGTTGCTGCTGACACATGTGACTGTTTGGAGTGCCGCTCCTCCATACACAGATAGTGAATATGGGGGAAAGTTTTTGACGCACAGATTAGTTTATCAGTGTTATCACACAAAATTTAAAGTGCATAAAACCATACTACTATCGTCTTCTTTTTCAGCGAATAAAAACGTAAATTTTGGAACTGAAATTCTGGGACTGCTGGGATGAAAGGCACTGCTGGGAGAGATGCAAACATTAAATGCATTCGAACGGCGTAAAAAAAGGCAGATTTTATTGCAGAAACGTGCAAACACAATATGATCACTTATCTATACAGAGAGTTAACGGTTGTTGTTATCATGACTGTCTGCGTTATCATCATCGTAAACAGGCAACTCGCGTATCACATGGGCAGACTCCCGGTCGTAGCTGTGTGGGATTATCCGATTCTGAATTTTTTCCTAAATGATCATTAAGTCCGGATTACTTGTGTATTTCTGTATTCGGTACTATTTATGTATCTCTGTACTTCTTTAAAATCCGGATTACTTGTATATCTTTGTCCGGATTACTTGTACACCCCTGTGTTATGGTTTACCTGTATATCTCTGTATTCCGGATTACTTGTATATCTCTGTATTTTTTGAAAATCCGGATTGCTAATTACTTGTATATCTCTGTGTTCCTTGTAACGTATATATTTTAATGCGTTACCAGCAGTTTACTTGCTAATTATTATGAATTCCTGGCGGCCGATGAGAGGATTTGATCTGTCGGAATTTTACTGTATGTGATGAATTTATATAAATTTGTGTGATGGAAAAACTCTGCCTGTTAAATGCGGAATTTATCGGTGTAAAATACAACACGTATTTTCTGTTTCCGTTCTGATTCGACCAGAATTCCGTCTCAATCACTGAACTGCTGGCAAAAATGGGACTGCGTAGTTTAGAAGTGCTTCCAAACTTGTTTATAATGACATGTGCACCATGAACATGTGCATTGTATAACCAGCCCGATGCTTTAATGCCAGCGCCTTCAATTTGCATTTAAGCAACCCTTGAAAGAGTATCTAAGCAGATGAAGCCTCTTTCTGAAAAATGCTCATGGGCTGGAAGAGAATCGAATTACTCCTCTTCACATCCTGCCATGAAGGCTACCCACTGGTGATTGTATTCCACGCACAACAAAAAAACATTAAATTACAGGTAACATGCCCTGACCTGTACATAATACAGCGCCGCATGCACACATTCCAGAGAGGCTAGTTACCTGTATAGGCTGCTGGTCATTACTTGTATTACACAAGCAACACTGGGTGTTTACTTGGATCAGTTACCATTGCACAAACTCTGACGGCATGTTACTAGTAATCTGATTTTTTTTGATGAAGTTGGAGCACATATTTGATTTGTATGTTCGCGCTAATTGCATGTGTTTTGCCTTGCACTATTAGTAACAAACTACCGATTTTTACCGGTTTTTCGCGGGACTCCCGTGACAAAGGAAAACACTGGCCCCTAACAAGAAAGGAAGAACAAGCTGCTCAGAGCTCACAGTCTTCATCAATTTCGCATGGATATTACATGCTGAATCCGCGCGAGACGCTATTTTCGTTGCTCACGTCCTCGGCTGGAGTTCTGCGGCCCGTAAAATATTGTTCCGCCTGAGCGTCTGTGTATGGCCTGGTGATAATTGATTTAATAATGTGGTGGAGTTTTGTGGAGGGAGAGGAGGAGGGGGGAGATATTTTTTTCCGGTGGACGGGGAGGTACGTTCAGATGTCTCTAAGATAGCAAAATTACGGTGAACGAACGGGGGGAGGGGGGTTGGGAAGTTGCGGGAAAATTTCGGGATTTTTCGGAGACCTGAGAATTCTAACTGCATGAGGTAGTAATGAGTTTTTGTGCTGGTTTTGACTTGGAGACATTCGCGGGGCTGAAAAAAATAAATGGCAACGCGCACCAGGCTAGCCGGTGCGATCATGCGTTTTGTGCAATTCA